GTTTGAATTTTAGAAGTTTAATAAAAACAAAAATATAATTGTACAGAATTACATTTAAAATATTAATATTTTGAAGAATTTCAAAAACGTTTCATTCTGAATTAGACCAGTAATCAGTCATCGTGAATTTACAATACAGAATTCCATTACTATTACCTTGTATGTGGAAACGAACATTTTTACTTTCTCGATAAGGAGTAGAGAGAAAGTTATAGGCTGCGCGAAAAAACGGCGAATTTTTGGTACAAAAACACTTACGGGACCCTAGTAACGGACAAACACATTTGCGAAATTTAGAAAAAAATTCTCTATCTCGTGCTGTAAACAGTATCCATGTTATGTGGATTCTTCACACCGAAAAATCGGATGACGGTAAAACGTTCGTTCATCGATCTGGTTGACGTCGCGGCTCCTTGAATTTAAAACCGATATTTCAATTCTAGGGGATATTCTATATGAATTGCTTGAGACATTTTCCAGATTTTCAAAAAATATTTCCATCGTTTTCGATTATTTTTTCTGTTGGATAATGTGAAGGACGTTTAAGAGAATAGTCCAGGTATCACGTTCGTTTAAAAACCTAATTTTTCGAAAATTGCAAAAAATCAATTTTTTCAGAGTTTACCTACAATTAAAATATTAAAGATGAGATTTAGAGAGTTTAAGATAAGGTCATGCACAATTGTTCGAAAATTGGAGTACTTTTGCGTTAATTTACGTGAAAGTGCGAGCAAGATAGTACGTGCTGTTTCAACACCACTACATTTATGGTACCTATTAAAGACGCATGTTCAACAAAATGTATTTGCAGAATTTACCATACTTTGAATCTTCCCAGAAATTAATATCACTGAATTTAAGATACAGGTTTACTCTTTATATTACCTACAGCTTTTTAAGAACATTTTTAGTGTACGACTGTGGTATTGATAAACTACAGAAATGAATTTGTTTGATCCTAAGAGGTCTTACATATTTATTATTTAATAGTTTCATGACTCGAAAACAACCTAGAACGTTTAGACAGTATATGTTGATCAAGCTAAGGGACATTTTCGTTTTCTTTTCATAAAAGTCACTAAATACTGATACTGTTTGTGAAAATAGGAAATGCGATATAGAGAAAAAGAACGTGTATTTCAAGTAATATGATTTTATCCGTTATTGTCCTCAGCGAATCTCTTTAGAAACACGAATTGTTCTAAATGGTATGAATCGTTCACTGTTTGTAACAAAGCTTAGGGATATTTTCATTTTCGTTTTATAAAAATTAGTAAATCATGTTAATGCTTATTGAAATTGAAAATACGATACAGAAGAAATATTACGAACACAATCACAAAAGAATGGATTGCTAACGAGTTGTATTTTCATTTACTTACTTATACGGTAGCTTAATATAACTTTGTAGCACATTCTGTAATACTAGTAATGATGAGTAATTAAGAACTTATTTCAGAAATAATAATCCTGTCAAATATTAATTTGTGATGTGTCATTTCACATACTATAGTTATCGGCATGTAAAGCGTACTTCTTTTCTCAAATATATCACTGAAATTCTACCTCGTGTGATAAACGTTGACTACCATTAAATACTTCTGCCGTGCTGCCAAATGTTAATTGTTCTACGATGTCTCCTCATTGGTATGTGTTCCTCCTGATGTACCATTTGAGTAGAAACCATGGTGTAAGTGTAGTTCATTAATAATATTTGTAGTGCGAAGAGGATTCGAGTCATGGCAAATTATTGCAACTTTTTACTACAAATTTAATCTAAAGTGAAAGTATTTCATCAATGCGTGTTGTTCACAAAAAAATGGTAGTTAATTATTTTATAAAGGTTTTATTTTGTTGTAGTACGTGCGATGATTTGAAGTGTAGAGGATTGCGAACCGCGAACCCAAATAAAGTTCTATTGTCTCTAAATCAAATTCTCTTTCTAGGCGGGTGTTAATAAAAAAACGCGAAAGACTGCCTAAGTCATATTAGAATACTAAAAGTATTGGATGAACGTGGGAAATTTTGGTATGTCCTCCTTCTCCTCTGAGACTCCCGTGACATCTAAAACTTACAATCAGGTTGTAACTGGAGAAAAAAATTTCTGCTTCTAATAACTGAAGAACAAGAATCCCAAATTGATATTAAACAGCATTAACAAAGATTAGGAAGGTGAATGCGTTAATATTTCCAGTACGAGTAAGGACTAGTTTCTAATTTTATTTTGTATCTATTTTCTTTTAAATTAAGGCTTTAAAAGCGAGAAATATCACCACAATTGTGACATTTTAAAGTTGGAAAATGTTTGAATGTTTCACTTAATTCTCACAAATATGTAATCATTTTAATATTATAATTAAATTAAATATAAATTTGTGTACTAATTAATATTTTGCTACTATGATTTAACAAATATCGGAATGTGGCTCTTCATGTCTTCGTGGGTGCCCACCTCTGTATTTATGTGAAAGATTCGCGGATTTTGCATAGTCATTTTTCAATGCTCTCTCGGTAATCAGCGGATTTCGTCACGTGGGGCACGAAAAGGGCAAAAAGCTGATTACATTTTGTGGTCATCCCAAACCGAGACAAAAAAAAAAAATAAAACTCTTTTCCACACACACACACACACACACACACACACACACTCACGTGTTTATATATAAACTATAATATATACACAACTGAAATTATTTTTCAAGTTAACATTCTACTGTTTTTTCCAAGCGTTATGTGCAAGCATTACACTTTCGAAGTTCCTTGATGTTGATACCTGCTAGTTGCTTTTGAGAATATTATTATTCAAGAAGATTACGGGAGATTAAGCTAAGAAAAATAGTCTTTTTGTGCCGAACTTATTGCAGTACTTTCCTGTGTTAATGTAAATGTAAAGGGTGTAACATAATGTGGGGCAGGTTGCAGCTGGCCTCGTGTTCGGAATTCCGAAGCTCGGTGAACTGGTTGTCCTTCGTATATATTTGAGAGCATCACCGGCGAACAGTTTATATGCAACAGCTCCAGATATTCTCTTAACTCAACCAGTAGGGTTTTAGGCGCGTAGGAGTTACCGAAACGTGTTAGTATGAAGAGCGTGAAAACCAGTTAAGGATCATTAAAACATGATTGTCAAATTTGTTGAAAAATTCCTGACAGTCAGTAGAATAGAAATCATTAAATTCTACGAATTTTGAAAACTATTCAAAAATTAAAATATTAGACTGGCTGATCCGGGTTGCCGAGATCGCTAAGGCAGTAGTTCTGTGGCGGTCTTGGACCAAACGGTCGCAGGCTCGAGTACTGCTTCGGGTATGGTTGTGTTTGTGTGTGTCTTGTTGTAATTATGTTTGTGATTGTCCTTTTCAAATTCATCATCATCATCATCATCATCATCATCATCATTTCACTTCATCCCCCAGGTCTGCAGCATTTAGCTGCTGCAGGCCACTAGTTGTACCTAATTACGGAATGTTTATCTGTGTGTTCGAGTTTACTTGAGTTTGTTCGAATTCATACTTAATGAGAGGTTTGATGGTATTAGGATAGTTGACAAGATTGATCAATGCCCAGAAAAATAATATCGTTTACTGAATACTTTGTATTACTCAGAGTGATCTTCTTTTACGTACTGAAACTCCCTAGAGAATGCTTTTTCATCTCGACTTGTTACACAAACGCCGATGTCACTCACTGACTGCAAGAAGCAGAAGATATGATGGTTGGTTTGTAATTACTAATAGGGAAGAATTCTTTGTCAGATGGAGATGAGTAATTGGCAAACACGCGGAAACGTACTTAGAATATACATTGGTTGTACGAATTTACTGAGAATTCGGCGTTTATTTTAAAACGATTGCTGCAAGTGGAAGAAAGAAAGAATGAGGAAACGTTTAGTGTTGCGGAGATATGTAAGGCATGCGTGCCTCTAATGCGTGCAGAGTGCAAGTTGTAAAACCGTTAGAGTGATTCATTTTACATTCACCTGTATTCATTACGCTTCTCCTATGAGAGACGTGCCTTATTTTACTTTCATGAGATACTATAAAATGAGAACAGTTGTTTTGGTGATGTTTTCGTAGAAGATTTTGCTTATGTATATTTAGTGTATCAAAGAAACTTAATCTGTTGATCGTTATTCCAAAATTCCAAAAATGTGTGTGTGTGATAATATTTTTAAAAACATGACATACATATTGTTAAAACATTAAATATAATTACCAATTCCATAATTTTATTAACACTTGGATCTATGAGTGTACTTAAACTCATCTCCCTAGAGTCAAAATTGGAAGTATGATTTGTAATTACTTTAGACTCATTATTTCATACTGGTAACTACAACCTCGTAATATATTTTAATTTTTTAATCATTTAAATATGTTTATAGAAATATCTTGGAATACACATATGTAAATATCTACACACCAACGTTTTTGTTTCTTCTCATAATAATATTTTGCGTAAATATATAAAATCTCCTCTTAATATATTCTCGCAATATTTATAATTAATTTCATTCCCATTTACGGTTTCAAAGAGTAGGTCTGAACATATTTGGTACTTAATATTTCACTGCACATTATATAATACGTTACTGTGACACATTTGTAAAACACAGATTTTGAAAAAGGATATTAAAAGTAAATGTAAAATGAAAAAAAGGAATTTTGAAAATTTAATTTAGTTCTACATTTCTCTAATCTATACACAAATAAGCAGTGTTAAATTATGTTCAATTACAAAAAAAATGTTGGAATAGAAAGATCCAATTAGTTTAAATATGGAATAATGAGAATCAACTTTTATTATTTTATGATTAGAGAGTGGGCAGTTTGCTTTTTAAAAAAAATGGAATTATGCTATGAATTTTGTCCTATATTTATTTGAACAGAAAGTTGCCAAACACACTCATTCACGTGTTTCGCATGTTGTCTAATCGCCTAACGACACGCGCGTATTGAAATATCTCAGCCAGTGGATGGGACGAGGTGCGTTTGACTCACCCTGAAATCCATGGCAGGGCGCTGGCGAGGTCGGGCGCCGAGGAGCTGGTTGCTGCGTGGCCGCAGCGTGTGGGGCGAGGTGTCGAGCGCGGCGCTGCCTTCGGCTTCGACTTCGGCTTGGACTGGGCGCAGAACCGATCGCTGCAGTGTCGCCCCGCGAATGCGGCCGCCGCGCGCCGCGCGCCTTTTAAAACCTGTTCCCGCTCGCGACTCCTCGCGCTCCTCCCGGGCGAGGCCGCGCGCGCGGCGCGGGGGAGGCGAAGGACGGGGGGGGGGATGGCGCCCGAGGAC